AAAGACAGATTAACAGGAGAAAAGCATACAAATTATTAAAAGAACGACTAAAGGAGCCCTAGCTGGTTTGGCTCAGTGGATAGAGCATCAGCCTGTGGACCAAAGGGTCCTGAGTTTGATTCTGGTCAAGCGCAGGCTCCTCCCCAGCCCAGGCCCTGACAGGGTTGGTGCAGGAGACAGCCAATCCATGTGTTCCTCTCACATCGATGTTTCTCTCTTTCCCTCTTTCTTCCACTCTTTCCAAAAATTAATGTAAAAATATCCTCGGGTGAGGATTAACAAAACACTAACAAAAAGAATTGACTGAAGGAGACAATTTAGGTGACAAACTTTATTTAACACTTTATGAAGTGGACAGTCTCCATTAGGAGAGTGCAAGGCAGGAAGCTTTGTAGGATAAAGAACAACGAAAAAGGTGGTAATATACAGCCCAGAGTTGGCCTGGCATTTGGGGACTGGCCGACTGGATAGACTGTTTCTGGTCAAGTGGAACATTTGCAGGGACATGAACGTTATGTAAATTTCAGTTTGCTGGCCGGGAACTCTAGGCAGGAGTGGCTCCATCTTGGGCCTACAAATTTATTTCAACAAAACTTATTAAAGTTGTATGTAACACAAGAGAACCTTCATGAAGAAATGAAGAACCAAAGCAAATTAGATTGGTGTATTTTAAAAAGTATCTATTTTTATTGATTTCAGAGAGGAAGGGAGCAGGGAATAGAAACATCAATGATGAGAGAGAATCATTGATCAGCTGCCTCCTGCATGCCCCACACTAGGGGTCCAGCCCACAACCTGGTCATGTGCTCTGATCTGGATTTGAACCATGTCCTCCTGGTTCATAGGTCACTCAACCCTGAGCCAAGCCGGTCAGTGAGACTGGTGTATTTTTACGCTGGGTTGGATGAAGTGTGCATAGTCATGAAGGAATATCGTAAGTTAAGGAGCATGAGGTAAGTGGATTCCTCTTGGTGTTCTTTTGTCTTCAGAGATAAGGATGCTCTATTCCTTCAGGGGAACCTCTCAGAGGGTTTTTTTGACCTGGCTTAGGAAAGAAGAAAGAGGGAAGAAGTCAGAGTGATTTTCCTGTTTCTACCTTTTTCTCAAACTCCTTCAGTTTAAATAACTAATATATGAAGGAGGTATATTTGGGGCATGTCCTGAACACCATCATGGGTATTAGTGGTGAGGAATGAGAAGTCTCCTTATATGTTTTAATTCCTTTTTTCTTCTTCTTTTTTTCAGTTGAGAGAAAGGAGAGCATCTAGGAAATTAATTTAATTAAGAAATATTTTTGGACATCTATTTGCCAAGTATTATAAAATGTTCCCCATCTACATTCATCTTTTAGTCTTCAATTTTCTCCACTCAAAATGAAGGGGCTTGGATAATTTTAAAGTTATTTTTTGCTTTAAATATCTAAGAGTCTGTAAATCCCCATTATCTTCATTTCATCTCCCAACTGGACGTTAAAGTGGCATATTAGAATTGTGGTGGGATGGGGCGGGACGTGCATGACGGTTTACATCCCACATTGATGCTGGTTAGAGTAAAGGTTTGGATTTCTCCCCCCACCCCCTCCCTACTTCATCCTACCCACATTTGCATAAAAATGTGATCACCCAGGCTTACTTGCTTGGTTACTTGTAAACAGACACATTCCAAGGATACTAACACCTCTAGGGTTAAGGAGCACCTCTTCCTTCACAATTCATTGCACAATGCTGGGCTTAAAAGAGAAGCTTGACGCATTCAATGCTCAGTTGATATACAAAATTACATTAGCCTATTTTCTATTCTATTTGATTTAGTTGCTTCTAAACAGTTGATTTCCTTTCAAATCCTGATTTTTCCTTATTTAGATAAGTTTGAAGGGGGAGGGCTCGATTTCCACTCACCAGATAGAATGCATTTCCTTTTCACCTATTTAGGCTAATGACTTTCAGTGTTATGCAGAGTAAAGAAATTATTTAGCCTCCATTCACAGGAAGTATTTGGTTTGAAAAAGAAAAGACTAATTCCAGCAGGATCTTTAAGTGAAAATGAGAAAGTTTAGAAAAAATAAATTTAAAAAAGCCAGTTGTGCATTTTCTAGGAATCACAAATTGTTTTGTTCCATTTAGGTGGAGAAGCAATTCCATACCTGTTTCCCAGCTAATTTTGCCCACAACGACTGTCTTATGAATGGAGGTTTTCTACTACTTCACTTTACTGTTGGATACATTTCTTTTTCATACTGAATTTTTCTTTGCGAAATTGCTTAAACCTATGACCCAGAAAGACTCCTGTGTCTTGGAGAATAATGAACTTGAAAAGAATTACGGCAAAATACAGAGTAAAGCCTCTACATAAGTTAAACCACTCGCTCATAATTAATAAGGCATGCTCTGTGACAGACTATCCCTAGCCTAGATTTATATCGGTCAGTGAACACAATTATACTTCATCACTAACTTATCCCCTGACACCATCTAAATTCGTAACTTTTAGTAGATGTAGGAGCCGAAGATTCAGGAAATTAAAAAAAAAAATCCTTAGAGGTGGGATGTGACTAAATGAATTGGTAGTGGTTCTGCTCCACATCTAATGGGGCTGAAATGGCCAGGTCCCCATTAGGAATGCAAGTTCCATAGGCGATTGGGAAAAAAGACACTTGTGGCATCAGGACTCCTTATCCTTGAGATGTATTACAGGCCTTCTGTAGACACTTGGTGATAATTCTCCCACGGAACCCATGAAAACACATGAGTAATGTTTCTTGGCCTGCATATCACTTAATCGGAAAATTATCTATAGGTACAACTTGTTCTTGGTGCTCGGATATTCAGCTTGGGCTCAGTATATCCATGCTAAGCCTCCACAAGGAAGCTTTCAACTTTGACGGCCGCAAATCTAAATGACGAATGCTTTACCTGGTTTTCACCACTCATTCTCTGCCAGAATCTTTTCAATTCATCCCCAGCCAAAGCCTGTCATTCACCCTGGCAACATACCCTTTCACCCCCCTACACCTCAGGTCTGCCCTTTTCCAGCCTTTGGCTGCCCTCTCCTTTCTCCCCTCGCATCCTTGTCTGACTGGTTCCTTGAGGCCTGGCAGAGATTCTTCTCTGGCACAAACCTGGCTCCTGCTCATCAAGAGTCTACACACCCCTCTCTCAATGCAGATCTAACTTATAGACAAAGGGAACACTTCTCTATCTTTTGTGAAAACAAATCACGCCTTGGCTTTTAAAGGCGAGAATAAAGAGTGGGTTGACAAAGAAAACAACCCGATAGAGCAGAGGTGAGAACAAGATACGAGGTTAAAAATAATGAGTGGACTCTGCCAACAGCAGAGGAAGCATCACCCCTCGTTACTAAGCCGCAAGGTGTCCCCCGGCCCCTTCGGTGGAGGTTAACGAGGGCGATGATCTGTGCGCCGCGCGCTAGTGTAACCCGAGCTTCCCAAGCAGCGCGTGGCCCATCGCAAGTGCCTTATGGATACTTGCCAAGCGCTCAAAGTTTAAAAGAATAAAAAAAGGATACACGACAAAGGCTACCGCCTGAGCAAATGCTTCAGCGGTTCTCAACCTGTGGGTCGCGACCCCTTTGGGGGGGGGCCCAACGACCCTTTTCACCGGGTCGCCTAAGACCATCGGAAAACACATATCTAATTACATTTTGTTTTTGTGGTTCATCACTATGCTTTAATTATGTCCCATTTGTAACAATGAAATTGGGGGTCCCCACACCATGAGGAACTGTATGAAGGGTCGCGGCATTAGGAAGGTGGAGAACCGCTGGGTAGGTGCTCCCAGGTCCAGCCCCATTGTTCTACCCTCCGTGCCCCGGCCTTCTCCCCGGTTTCTGTCCTTTCACACACACATTTCGAACTAAGACCCCGCGAGGACACACAGCCCCGGGAGGCCAGACTTGAGCGTGCCATGCGCAGCCAGTTATGTGGGGAGGCGGCTTGGAAGCGAGGGCCCCCGGCCTCGGGGAGCGTCCTTTCCCGCCTTCTCCGAGTTGAGGTGAGCGATGCGGCCATCCACACGCTCCCTCCTCCTGCTCGGCCGCGGCTGTTCTCTCCTGCTCGCTCCTTCCCCGGCCCATCGCTGCCCCGGGGTCGCCGCCTGCCCTTCCTCCCCCTCTGCCTGTTGGTCCCTTTGATTCTTTCTTTCTACCCCCTATTCCCAGACGCTCCGGGAAAATCCCTGATGTTCCCCCGTTCTCCACGTCACTTCCCTCCCTTCTCCCATCTCCCTCCGTTTCTCGGAGAGGTGCCTTCCCCACTAGAGGCCAGCACTCGCTCAGTCTCGCCCCTCGGTCCGCGGAGCCGCACTCGGAGAGAAAGAAGGAGGAAAAAAAAAAAAAGAGGAGAAGGGACGGCCGAACGAGGGGGGAAAACACCACCCGGGGCCGGCAGCGCGGAGGCCCGGGAGCGCCGTCGCCATGG